TGCCTAAAGACCTCCAGCAAACCAATGGCAGAACTAGCCCCGGTTCCCAAAACAGTCTGCTGCAATTTTCTCGCTGTGGATCACAGGAATATAAAGAAATACATACCTCCCAAATCCGTTTACCTGATCTCCTGGAGTGATAGTAGGCTGTTGTCATGTTGGTGGCGTTGGGTTGTGTGAATAAACTTCACTGCTGTTGCTGCCTGTGCTATGCCAGTTTTCTAGCTACAAAGTAGACCTGAGTTCCTGGTGATTGTCAAGTTGGCACCCTTCTGCAACAATGAACGTAATGCAAAGCAGAAAAAAGTATTTGAGGCAAAGAAAGCTGTCTGCAGTAACATGGTAGGAAAAAAGGAACCACATTAGATGAAATCGTTCACATGGCTGGCAGTAATGGAAATGTACAGCAGAACAGAAATGTGGGAAATGTTGGCAAAGATGAGGAAAAGAGATTACTTCTTTATTTAGTTTATTTTCAATAAACTGTAGAACTATTTAAACCAGAAATTCCAGCTAGGAAAAGTTGCAGAGTTACCTGGCATTGTGGTGGGTGATTTTTCTGAACGGGTCTCAAGCTTCAATTTCTGTGGGGACATGATGAGATTTAGCAAATGTAGAATGTCAGCCTGGGGTATTCCTATTAACTATCATGCAGCCACAACCTAGGTTATGTTGCAGTACTTTAAGCAAATCTTTTCAATCGAAGATGCTTAAATTGTGCATATGAACCTGCACTTCTTTTCAAAGTGGCACACAGATGTATTTGGCATTGGCATTAGTGAGATTTTGAGGAGCTTTTACAGCTTAAAACTAAAGAATACATGTGCAATTCCCCCCCCCCCCCAAAAAAAAAAAAAAATCTGAAATATATTTATTTATTTTAATTGAAATCAAACTAAAGAGTTTAGGTTGGGGACGGAGGAGAAAGAAGATAAATCTGATGAAGAACATCTTCATAAACACAATTGATAGATAGCTTTGTGGAGTTACTCATGTGGAATTAAAGGCTTTTTTTGATGAAACATAGGAGGGAGGGAATCAAAACAGCTATCTTTTCAACATGCTTTAGAGCATCCTGTGATCAATACATTTCCAGTTCGAGGTTTAAGATTTCTGTCCAACAAAGTTGGCTGCATACCCTTGTTCAGTAAAACAGCTAAGCATATGTGGAATTTTAAGAACATGCTCATGTGATGTCTGTATAGGAATGCTTTTTTTTAAGGCTAGGAATTCATTTTATACTTCAGAAAATTTACTTTAAAAATCATAGCCAAGATAATTACCATTAGCTATCAGTTTATTTGGGAGCATTAGCTTTATGCAACTAAAAGAAATCTTTAGCTTGAGCAGCTCAAGGTCACGTCCATGACAGTAACTTTACAAGGATTTAAAGTAATTTTTCTGGTTTACTTTTTTTTAATTATTGTTATTTTTAAAGAAGCTTGAGAATAAAAGTAATTGTTTGAATAAGCTGTAACAGTCCTTTAAGGAATTCTTACTTAAATGATTATTCTGTTGACTAATTTCACAAGCTTAGAGCTGCTCGAATGAGTGCTAGCACTTAGTATGTTCTTCAAGTTCAGTGTTTCTATACAAACATTTTGAGTTCTGGGAAAGATGAATGCTTGCCATTTGTGCAAGCATCGGTCTTTTTAGTGTTAAATGGTATACTTTCTAACCATGAGAACAATGAAGTTATAAAGCTTTATAAAGACTTATAATTTGAAGTACAGAATCAAGACAACTCCAAACTGTTAAGAAGGAGATTGGTTATCTACAAAAAACACTTCAGAATCTGAAAATCAGGGAACCACACTGAAGGAGTCTGGAGTATTTTCAGTGTTATGTACCTATTCTAGAAGGGATAGCAGAGATTTCTGATAAAACTGGCCAAAATCAGTCCCATTAGATACTGGATATTCTGTTAGTATTAACTGCTCAAATGACTTCTCGGAAGAAGGTGTGGCTGTGGGTTCCAGCATATTAACTTCAGCTGGGCTTAATTCAGACCCATTAGTTTTGGCGGTAGGGCTGACATTCAGCTAGACTGCAGCTTGGATCACTTGTCCAGTACCTACCACTGAGTTTGTAATGGACAGCTGAAAACAAAAGTCTGAATAAAATTATAATAGTGATCTCACTAGGAGAGTCGATATTGCTGAAAGGAAGGCTGAGTGAAGATTTTCTTTTTTTTTTTTTTTTTTTTTTGCATGTCCTGTAAACACAATATCAGATCTATAATGTTGCATAAAAACAAAACTCTAGAGCTCCAAGCTTTATGAGCAACTTTATAAAGCAAATGAATATTTTCTTTTTTTTTTTTTTTAAGTATCTTATGTGGCTTCTTAGATCATTCCATAATCTTGTCTCCTTTTGCTTATTAAAAAAATTAAAGATAATTTCTAAACCTGTCTTGTTATTTAATATGCATAATTCATGCATGCACATACACTGAGTTGTTCATGCCTCTAGCTTTATTTAATCATGAAATGTCCCACCTATCCCTATTTTAAAAAAATTTTCTGTCTTAGGTAGGAGTTACTTCCCTATTATATTTCAGTTTTGAAACCCTAATTACTCAGGCTTTAGACTCCTACAGGATAGATTTTTTAAAAGGATAAAATTTTTGTTGTTGTTAATTGTTTTTACATTCTCATTTTTAACAAAAAGCAATTAACAAACATGCTTATATTCAAATCTTTTAGATAACAGCAATCACAAAGTTGGAGATGAGAACTGAAGAAGTTTTAGTCTTGAAAATAGAAGTTTAGGGAAGTGAAAAAGGCCTGTTTTGGATAAACTTAGCTGGTGCTGTCCTGATGTATTCCATTTTATAGCAGTTGATGTACTTTTTTTATATGTGTACAAAAACCTTTTTGAAATAACTTTAATTACATACTCAGTGAAAAGAAAGAAAATCCTGTCTTTTCAATGTAGGTTGTTATCAGAATACCAGATGTGAGCGCTATCAAATATAAGAGTAATTTGTTCATTTTGTTTAAATAAAAAAAAAAAAATGAAATTATGTTTATTAAAAACCTTCATCCTGCATTTACAGTCCAAGTTGATAGAAAGTGAAATAACAATTTTTTTTAACCTTTTCCTGATTTTCTAGCTCTAATAGAGAGGTTATGAGCACCCACAGCTGTTTACAAATGGGTTACTAAGGGTTTGCTAATGCAGGAGAGGAGAAGTAGCAAGGAAGAAAAGAACTGCCTGAGAGCCGAAGCTCACATATAAGGAATGGAAGTGGAGCTGCAATAAAATCGAAACAGAATTCTACTGTGCCAGGATCTGGAAATACCAAATAGCTTGGGTTACAGCCTGTTTAAATACATTTCTGACCAGAGGCTTAGTAAACCTCTACACTGATATAACTGGATGCTCAGCTGTTGTACACTCTTGATGCTTGGGGTTTATCTTTCCTCAGTTGCCCAGGTAGTGATAGTCAGTGACCTACCTGAGGTATGTGTCTTGTCCACTTCTGGATGGCTGGATAATGGCAAGGCTTAATTGGTTTGGATAATCTCTACCAAAGAGAGAGTGATTTATTTATGGATTGCAAGTGAAAGTTGTTATAAGTGAAAATAGCCAATTTGTAGCTTTACAAAGAGCAGTCCACCTTACATGCAGATAGTTTAAAATAATAAGTTGTGATTATCAGGTAATATACAATCAATATCAGATTCACTGTGCTTAATTGGCACAGAGTATACATCATTAATATAGCTTGATTAATATAGCAGCACAGTTTTCATGTCCCAAGAAGCTAGGTGGGTTTTTTTGTTTTTCCCAGGAGAGGGGCGCAAGCAGGTGATAGGCAATAACTGAATGAACTGGAAGAGGTGAAATCAGATGAAACCTACTTACAAATCCACTGTGAGTTGGTGTCTTCGTCCAATAGGCACATCAAGTGGGAAAGCCCAGCAGCTAAGGGGGAAGTGAAAGCATGTCCATTTCTTCCTTTATTTTTAAATGAGAGGGAACAATTACAAGGCAGCAAGTTATTTCTTCATATATTTCTTTTGGGGAAAAAAAAATAAAAAATGTTGGGTTTCCAAAGAAATCACACAAATAATTGGCATACATGTTGTTATGAAGATAGTTGCTGCAAAAATCTATTTCAAGGAACTTCTAATCAGTCTTTTTACCAGAATACCATTTGAGCTAATTTCAGACACTGCTTATTTTCTCTTTAATTTACAATCCGTCCCTTCTGCATCCAAATCGCTCGCGGCAGTCTAGTGCCAGATCAGCCCTTAAGACATCAAAGATATTTGTTTTCTCTCCTGAAACCCACAATCTTGCATTGGGCATTAGTGGCTATGTCATACCAAGCTAATTAATAATAACAGACATAATTTTGCATCCCCTGTGTAGAGGAGAACGAAATCCAGAAAAATGACAGGATTTGTGTGCACTACCTGATGAGTTTTTCTTCTTTTGTCTAATTCTTTATTCCACTTTGGTTTGCTTCCTTATGCAATCAGTATTAGACAAGAAGCTAGAAGAGCTGAAAACTTATGCTATTGATACTGCAGCAAGTTTTGTCATTGATTTAAATGGGAGCAAACTCAAGCCTTTGGTATTACTCCTAAGAGTCAAGACTAGAATTTTATTTGGACAGATACTGAACAGGTCTTATGACATATTCTGAAAGGAGAAAGCTCAGGGATTTACAAACATTTTCACATGTCTTCAGGCACAGATTTCTCAAGCAGTGCCAGGCAGCAGTATTGCAATGCTCTGACAATGTAGACAGTCACAAGCAGTAGACACAAAGTCATTTCTGTCATTTGGAGCTTGTTTAGAAGTAGCAGCATTGAGATTTTATTTTTTTTAATGCTCAACTTAAATGCCTGATTTTTTCAAAAATGTAAGTAGTATATGCTCTACAATACTTCAAACTCCTTCTATTTTTATCCAGAGAAGCCAGAAAAGTTGCAATGGTGAAACCATAATTATAATATATCTTTTTTCTCTCTTTTTATATCATTTAGATATCAACATGAATCAATTCCAAGTCCACTGGTTACTGGAGTCCTGTGCACACAACGACACCAAAGGACTTGTGAAAGTAACGGAGCTGACTTACGTAAGTCTCCACTCAGCCTTGTGCTTGACTCTGAACAGCTTCTAAGCAGCAAGAGAAAGGATGGTTCTGAAACAACACACAGTATGCTTTATACCATGTTTCATAGATAAGTAAGAATGTTTCTTATTTATGTTCCTCTTCTGCAAAAGATAAAAATGATGCATCTGGACTGGTTTGGGTTTTGTTTTGGTTTGGGTTTTTTATTTTTTAAGTCCACACTAGGCTAAAATCTTTTTTTTTTTTGGTCATTGTTATTCAGAAAACAAGAGCAGGCAAACAAACTTCTTAGCTAAAGTACTTATATGTTTCTACAGCATATAGAACATGGAGCGTTATCTAGCACAGTGCAAATACTGAACAGTAAAAACAGTAATTAATAAACTAGACATACAGGTGGGTTTCACAACCCTGAGGAGAATAATAGAGTAAGAAAAAAGGACTGTAGGTGAAAAATACTACATATTAAATCTGAAGTCAGACGGATATCAGGTAAGGAGAAAAGCTCTATGTAAGTGTGTCAGCCCAAATATATATTGCAGTGGCAGTTCTTTGTACTCAATTTGTTGGCAATCTAGTGTCATCCGTCTCTATAACACATTATCGGAACAACACAGTAATGTGATTGGTGCATCACAATTGATTTAGTGGGTTACGGAGAATGGAAGAAATCACAATTCACCTTTCCTTCTTACCCTGACCTATACTGCTGGATCAATTCAGTGGAGTTAATGGCATGTAAAAGTAGAGTAAATCAAGAGACATCATTTCTCATACAGAAGGCTGTTAGCTTGTAAGATTTACTGCTTCATGGGGTCAGCAATGCGAATATTAGAGGTGGATTAAAAAAATGATTGTGACATAATGTTATGATCAGTCCCAATATTTCAAGTTATGCACATTGAAGATAGGAGAAAGTTAACATGTAAGAAGTTTATTTCCACTAGAGGTCAGGAAAGACTCTTTGAACATCTGCCCAAATGCATTGTGGGGTTCGTTCATTTAGTTCCTCTCAATCATCTTATAGTACTTGGTCCAATCTACTTTGGGAAACTCTGTGTTTCTTTTGAGGAAGAAAATAATTACAAGCAAACAGAAGAAGGTTGATGCTACAAAAGGTTTGGTACCCCCTGTGACAGGTCAAGGTGGATAAAGGCCTCACGTTTCCGGTGTTGAGCATTTAGGCTCTGTCACAATAAATAAAAATGGTCCTGTCACAATTTTAAGCAGGGGCCAAGCCTGTTAGAGCACTCTCCTGGCAGGGGAAAGGCGTGGAGTCAAGTCCATTCTCAGCCCTATCTATGTCCTGTCAAAAATGACCTTCCAAGTGAAGGTTAGACTAATCCAGTTTGGGATTAGAAGAAAGAGGGAGTTATCCAGAAGAACGCTGGAAATTAGTGATTCTGAAGCAAAGTAAAGATCTAAAAGGCAGTGAAATACTTTCAACCTTAGCCAGTAAGGTTTTATTGGACATTTTCCCAGAAAAAAAACAACAAACCAAAAAAAACCCCCAAACGCAAAACCCTCAACCCCC